TTTCAAAATTTCTGATGTATACACCATGTTAAGCCTGGTACGCAGCTGAAAAGTAATGACGTTTTTATGTGCTACCGGATAGGACACGGAATGCAAAATAAATTACTTTTCCTCAGCATTTCTTGACCCAGTACGCAGTTCAAAAGAAATCGGTAAAGGAAACATCGATTACATTAGTATCGTGATCGACATGAAGGTGGCGCATTCTGAATGCAATTTCACTTTCCTTGCGGAATAATGGTCTGATCAATTATTCCGTTAGGTAATGTTGGCGTTTAGTGCAAAACTGATGTTTTGGATGCATTTAAACAACATAAACACTAATAAGTGTTGATTTTACAATTTGACGACATCTCGCTATAATCTCAAAATTTAGCAGACTATAGCTGTCAAATTTTCTTTTGGGAAAAATCCTTAAAAATTACTTTTTCGTTTTCTTTTCAGCTGCGTACCAGGCTTTAGGTACGTTGCTTAAATACAACTAAATCATAATGTTTTCTAATGTTTGACATCAGGCATACATTTGATTTCGATGCTGATTTAGACATCAAAATCAAACGTTGGGCTAATGTAAATTTCTATTCGGGATGCTCCTGCTGCAGCTGCTGTAAGCCTTCCGGAAAGGAACTCGAGCACTCGACGGCTTATGGAAACCAGATTATAAAAGCAGAGTGGTCCTCGGAGTGACATTCATGACCAAACGACAGTCAATCAGTAGGGTAATTGAAGATTACAGATTGAAAAGACCTCACCAGCTTTTGTAAACAAAATAAACAAAAATTGCAATTGACCACTTTGTCAAGCAGTTTTAGCGTGACTTTCTACCAGCTATTTCACAAAACTGGACCAAATAATTTCTTTTTTTTTTATGAAACGCACAACTGTTGGCTACTATTCTCGAGGTTCTAGAAGAAAAAATCTAAAAATAATGTTTTATTTCAAAGTTCGAGTGGTAGTAAACGTCATTTTAAGTGCTTGAATAAAGTGGTTAATTAAACGGTATTCTGCAACGATTTTGAATATGCTTGCGTGTTTCATTAATTGTGCGTGGTACAGAATGTACCATCAAATCCGAAAAAAAAATCTTTAAATAGGATCTGCAGCGCTCGCAAAAAACTATAAAACAGAAAAAAAACCTAATTTTCGGTAAAAAGTAACGTTTAAATATAGGTAATTATTAAAGTTTTTGATTCTCAACCACCAATACCTAATTTTGGGTAATCGATGTTTACCGATAATTTAGGTATGTTAGAGTCGGTGTATAATGAGTCACGCCAAGAGTGAAGCCAAGTCTACCTATTGAACTGTCAAACTGGCTACCTATCGTGCAAAGTAAACAAGCATTACGATGCTATGAAAGGTCCACGAAAGGTATTGCAATTAAATATAAAATATAATCGAAGAAATGATCATATACACGCAGTGAGCATTACATTTGTCATGCGATACGTTTTTTCATAATCAGTAATGACAATTTATACTATTTTTCTTTAAGATAATTCGACAAAATCACTGATATAATGATTTACTACAGCCGTTAATTTTTATCCTCGCTAGAAGTCATTTGAAGTTGATGCAGAATTCCTTTGTTGCCAAGTGTAAAGAAAGGGAATCATTCGAAAACCGTGATGCGAGTTCAACTGTTTTTCTCTTGGCGTGACTCATTATACACCGACTCTAAGGTATGTGTACTTTTGTTCGATTATCGTTATTTTTTACCGATTTTTAGGTATTTCTGTCTTAGCGTGTCGGCCATGGTGGGTATATAAATGGTGATACTAGAGTCGGTGTATAATGAGTCACGCCAAGAGAAAAACAGTTTAACTCGCATCACGGTTTTCGAAAGATTCTCTTTCCTTTCACTTGGCAACAGAGGACTTCTACATCAACTTCAAATGACTTCTAGCCATAAATAAAAATAGCGGCTGTAGTAAATCATTATATCAGTGATTTTGTCAAATTATCTTAACAAAAAATAGTAGAAATTCTCATTACTGGTCATTACTAAACGTATCCCATGACAAGCTAATGCTCACTGCGTATTTATCATAATTTCTTCGATTATATTTTATATTTTATTGCAATACCTTTCGTGGACCTTTCATAGCATCGTAATGTTTGTTTACTTTGCTCGATAGGTAGCCGGTTTGACAGTTCAATAGGTAGACTTGGCTTCACTCTTGGCGTGACTCATTATACACCGACTCTAGGTGATACAGCTTTGTCACTATATTACACGGTGTTTCGTGAAAACCCATTAATGGGTAAAAAATACCCATTTTCAAACCAGCTGTCAAAAAATGGGGGAATTTTGAAATCATAAAATGGGTGAAAAAACACCCATTTAAAGAATCAGTTCACGGTTGAATAATGGGTATATTTTTTACCCATTAAAGCCTGGTACGCAGCTGAAAAGTAATGACGTTTTTATGTGCTACCGGATAGGACACGGAATGCAAAAGAAATTACTTTTCCTCAGCATTTCTTGACCCAGTACGCAGTTCAAAAGAAATCGGTAAAGGAAAGATCGATTACATTAGTATCGTGATCAACATGAAGGTGGCGCATTCTGAATGCAATTTCACTTTCCTTGCGGAATAATGGTCTGATCAATTATTCCGTTAGGTTGGCGTTTATTGCAAAACTGATGTTTTGGATGCATTGAAACAACATAAGCACTAAAAAGTGTTGATTTTACAATTTGACCACATCTCCCTATAATCTCAAAATTTAGAAGACTATAGCTGTCAAATTTTCTTATGGGAAAAATCCTCAAAAATTACTTTTCCGTTTTCTTTTCAGCTGCGTACCAGGCTTAATGGGTGAAAAAACACTTCGAAATTTTATCGTCGCATTTCCGTCACCGACTGTCCGCAGCATATTTGGCGAAAATAGATGATCTACGGAAAACGTTAGAATCCAAAACGTTGGAGAGCCTTACGGATAAGTCAATACATTTTATCCAATATGGTATAATAATATTTCGCGTAAAATTTGAGCGGAATACCTGCATTTATTTTCAATGTGTACACGGTGTTTCGCGAAAACCCATTAATGGGTATAAAAACACCCATTTCAGCTAAAAGTGCCCCTCCTCATTTAATGGGTAAACTATGGTCATTAATGGGGGATCTGTCAATAAATGGGTGTTTTTTTACCCATCTTTTTGAATTGTGTTTTTCGTAAAATGGGTAAAATAATACCCATGTCCTCGTTGACATAAAAAACTTTCTAATACATTGGAAATAAATGCAGGTGCGTTCCGATCAAATTAAATTACACGAAATATTATGATACCATATTGGATAAAATTGTATTTACTCATCCGTAAGCCTCTCCAATGTTCGGGATTCTAACCTTTTCCGGAGATCGTCCATTTTCGCTTAAAAAAAAGCTGCTGACAGTAGCTGTTTGCATTCCCAATGAATCCGTGACAGAAATGAGACGATAAAATTTCAAAGTGTTTTTTCACCCATTAGTGGGTAAAAAATATACCCATTATTCAACCAGGAACTGATTCTTTAAATGGGTATTTTTCACCCATTTTATGATTTCAAAATTCCCCCATTTTTTGACGGCTGCATACATGGTTTGAAAATGGGTATTTTTATACCCATTAATGGGTTTTTGCGAAACACCGTGCATTAAATGAGGAGGGGCACTTTTAGCGGAAATGGGGGTGTTTTTATACCCATTAATGGGTTTTTGCGAAACAACGTGTGTGCAGCGTGACGTCACAAATGAACTTAGGTGTTAAGGTGATACTCTAAGGAAGCCTTAGCGTGAAACTTCAAAGGCACAAATGTCAGCTTCCACAAAACATACAAATTTGAAATTGCTACTCTCTGTTTGTATAAGCACAGTAAACAAGGAGTAGCAATTTCAAATTTGTATGTTGTGTTGACGCTGACATTTGTGCCTTTAAAGTTTCACGCTAAGGCTTCCTTAGAGTATCACCTTAATAGGCTGAAACTTTTTGACAGTTCAGTGGTACTGTTTACAAGCACTTAGTCGTTTTTTTCGAAAAAACAAATTCTAAAATTTCCGAATTTTAACTTGAAAATTGTCGAGGAACAGCGCGGTGAAAGGATATTGCTCGTGGACAATGCAGAAGTGTGGTTTACATCTCACTGCAGTCTGAAAAATTATCGAGAAAATCCACCCCAAGAAAAAATCGACTAAGTCCACGTAAACAGTACCACTGAACTGTCATCAGATTGAGGTTAACCCCGACGGTGCAAAACCTAATAGGCGTGGTGGTCGCGGGGGGGAGTGCGGTTTTAGTGCAAATTGTAAACAAACTCGGTCGCTGTTCCGTACAAAAATCTAACATGGCTGAATCATGAATTAGACACATTAGAACACCTATATGTAGTCACCTTGGTCTCGGCTCTCGTTCGTTAGGTTTTGCACCGTCGGGGTTAACCTCAATCTGATGACAGTTTAGTGGTACTGCTTACGTGGACTTAGTCGATTTTTTCTTGGGTGGATTTTCTCGATATTTTTGCAGACTGCAGTGAGATGTAAACCACATTTCTGCAATGTTCACGAGCAAAATCCTTGCAACGTGCTGTTCCTCGACAATTTTCAAGTTAAAATTCGGAAATCTTAGAATTTTTTTTCGAAAAAACGACTAAGTGCTTGTAAACAGTACCACTGAACTGTCAAAAAGGTTCAGCCGATTAACACTGAGTTCATTCGTGACGTCACGCTGCAGTACCTAGTTGCCATTCACCTTGACACCAGTCCTGAAGTGACGTTTCTTCACACACATTTTGACAGTTCCTTATGGGGTTTTGCGTTGAAGTGAGAGAATAAGAAAAAGTCCGCCATGTTTCACACATAGACTGACAGTTACATATGAGATTTCTCCATAGGAGTAAAGAGTTACAGAGCTCTCGTCAACGCCAATCTCTTTTACTCAGAGACAAAAAAATAATGATTGGAACCAGAAAGTGAGGTTAGGGACCGTGCACTGCTCTATTCAATGTCTCTGGTGGCGGACATAATGTACAACAATCCGATACTTACAAAGGTGCCTGGCGATATTTTGTGTGGTAATAAAAAAGAAAAGCAAGGTTACATTCAGGATATCAGCAAACTTAACAAATCCGAGTTACTAGATCTCAAAAGGCGTCAAGAACTGTTACTTCGGAATAAGTAAGTTAAATTTTGTTTCCTGGAAGTACATTAATTTAACAATGTTTCACAGAAAACAAATTTCAAAATTGCCGGATAAGGGTCTCAAAATCGAAAATTTCTACAAGCAAATTCTAAAGCAACTGAAGGTTTATGAGAATGTTGATCGCGCAGCAGAAATGTTCTCAGAGCTAAACATAGTGGTTGGAAAAAAATCTCTGGCGAATATGGAATGGAGTGGAAAACATAATGCTCAACACCATACAGACATTGTTGACAGTGATGATGAAATCGATGATCAGAATATAGGTCCATTGAAAATCTTGGCTCGTAGTACGAACGTCGGAAAAATTATTACGTCCAAATCGGAAAAGGCCTTGATAACACGACAGGATCTTGAAGACATTGAAGTTAAACGAGAGAAAGCGGAATGCATTACTACAGCTGATTTATTCGAAATTGATTCAGGTAGTCAGATTATGGATCGTCTTTCTACCCAGTCAGATAGCAAACACTTGCACATGATGTCAAAGACAAAATTTTTACCATTCCGTACTACGAAATCAAATGTGCACGATCCAGAAAAGGAAAAACATCGATATAAAGGACACTTAAAATGGGAGAATACATCAGCAACACCTCCGTCTCTTACACATTCTCCAGCTAAGGTACTATCGCTCGAAGAATCCGTGCAATTGCAAGAGGAAAAGAACAATTTACTTCAACAAGCCCAAGAACGATACACAGAAGAACGATTACTGCAACGGCAGGAAATCAAAGATAAAGTAACGTCATCTATTTACAGTGACCTTATGCAAGGCTCAACCGGATTAACAACTTCTCGCGATGTATCAGATAGTGAAGGAGAGATACAGGATGATGTCGAATATGATTCTGAAACACAAGATAGTTAGTTCTACGTTTATTTAACTTAAATACATACAATACATTAAATTTTAATTCATTTGCATTTTTAATCTGGGACATTTACTTTGAAATACATAATTTCACTCCAATACACTAGCATTTATCTATGAAGATACATAACGACATGGCGTATGTAAAGTGACTTCCAAAATAGAGCGTGCATTATTTTATGAAAAATGCAATTCGGGCTGAACAATCCATTAGGTCCTGTTACATCGATTCTCTCCATTGACATTATCTTTCGTTAATAACTTGGGTACAGAACCGTTTCTTGTCGTGTTTGTCATATTAGAAGCTAGATAATATCGATCTGTGTACTGAAAATTACTGGGAATGTCTTAACATGACCGTGAGGAGTAGTTTAGGTTGTTGCAGACGAAGTATGAAGTATAAACTGCTCCATTTGCAAAATAAAAGCATTTTAAGAGTGCACTCGTATACCTCCCCGTGGAAAATTTTGAAACCATCATCACTTTCATAGTTCTTCTATTCTCCACGAATGCCAACTTTGATTATCCAAATGAGTGTAAGCTTGTTGGTAGGCGTTGGCCAGATTTGGATTTTTCAGATATAATCCTAAATAGGACCTAGATTATTTAATACTCTAGTAACCTCAAGTCCGTGCTCTGTCACAATGTTTCATTGTGATTAATCAACACTCAAAGGGCATCTTTAGCGGCGATCCAATTGGTTGGTTTGGTCTAAAATTTTGGAACAGACCCAGACCGAGCCCTTGCAGTAGTGGTCTATATTTTGTTTTTTTTTCTAAAATGTAATTTTTTTAAACCAGTATAATTCTCGATCTTTTTTTTTTTAATAATTCGTTTATTTTTCCAGGCTTATTTGCTGTAGCTTTGCGGAGCCGATATTCATTGTTTATACAACAAAATTACTTAAAACTAACGTTAGTAAAGCGGGGGCAGATTACTCGCGGCTGTCTCGAGGTTAGGGGTAACAAATTGTAACAAATGGATGGCAGGGTAGGGAATGTGAACACAAGGTTTGGAGAGCAATGTGCTCTTGATCTCGAATTCTCGAACTAGGCGACACTCTGATGAAAAAGACAAACATGGGGGTACACCGATGGGCAGCTAACAACTTGGGAGAACACAAGATGACACTAACTACTAAATCCTCAAATCTATCCGTTTTAAAAACATAAATTAAATTCAAATAGTCGAGGTCTCGGCTCGCCAAGACATCTCTAACGGGTATCGCGGGTTGTTTTCCTCGGACCCTGAGGGATGTGGATAACTCAAATCTGGCAACACGGTGTAAGGTACATGACCAAACAACATGCTCGATATCGTGATAACCATTGCCACACGCACATAAATTGCTGCCTGAGAGCCCAATTCGATAGAAATGCGAGTCTAACGAGCAGTGATTGGACATAAGCCTTGATATAACGCGTATAAAGTCGCGGCTCATGTCCAACCCTTTCAACCATCGTTTGTTCGACACCTGTGGGAGAATAGAATGTAACCATCTTCCCAATTCACCATCATTCCATTTTTGTTGCCAAGAGAAAAATTCGTTGAAGGCGATTTGTCGCTCAAAAATGTCGCCTTCCATAGCGCCCACTTTAGCCAATGAGTCCGCTTTCTCATTACCCGGAATTGAGCAATGAGATGGGACCCAAGCTAAGGTGATAGTGCAGGAGCAGTTAGATAAAGCACTCAGTTTAGATCGTATTTCAGGCAGGAAATACGAGGAGTGCTTCATCGGCCTCATTGAACGAATAGCCTCCAATGAGCTAAGACTATCCGTGAAAATGAAATAATGGTCAGAAGGTAGTAAGCGAGGTAGTAAGGCAATTCGCTCTACTGCGTAAAATATAGCTCCGAGTTCCGCAACGTATACTGAGCATGGTTTCTGTAGTTTATACGCTATGAAATTGATTAAATACACCAAATCCAGTGGAAGCATTTATGGTTGACCCATCTGTGAAAAATCTTTTATCGTTACTTACATGGTGGTACTTGATTGTAAAAATTAAGGGAACAACCATCGACCGATGGTGATCTGGTATTCCATGAATTTCTTGCATCATGGTCAGATCAAAATTTACAGAGGAACTATAGAAGGCTTGAAAGCAATCACGATTGGAGATTAATAAAGAAGGACCAACCTCCAGCGTCATGTACTCATAGTACAAACTCATGAATCTTGTTTGAGGATTTCGGTCGAGCAGCTTCTCAAAGTGTTCTATTACCAAAGGATTCATTACTTCACAACGGATGAGAAACCGGAAAGACAGCTCAGCGAAACGATCTGTCAGTGCGAGAACACCCGCGAGTACTTCGAGGCTCATCGTATGCGTCGGGTGCATACAGCCTAGCGCAATACGAAGGCAACGGTATTGAATCCGTTGCAGCTTAAGGATGTGTGTTTTTGCTGCGGATTGGAAGCAAAAGCTACCGTACTCTAAAACCGAAAGGATGGTTGTTCGGTACAACCTAATCAGATCTTCCGGGTGTGCTCCCCACAAAGTTCCGGTAATTGTACGAAGAAAATTAATCCTTTGCTGGCATTTTTGTTTCAGATACGCAATATGTTTTCCACATGTGAATTTGGAATCGAACCAGACACCTAAATACTTGAAAGATATACTTTGAGTGATTGTTCTACCCTTTAGTTGAAGCTGTAACTGTGCAGGATGATGCTTCCTAGAAAAAAAAAACAACCAAATCAGTTTTCTCCGGAGAGAATTCGATACCCAGCTTCATAGCCCAAGTAGACAAATTGTCTAAGGTATCTTGCAATGGTCCTTGCAGGTCCGGTGCACTTGGCCCTATAACGGATACAACGCCGTCATCTGCAAGCTGCCTTAGCGAGCAATTTTCATCAAGACAACCATCGTCTTTTACATAAAAATTATAAAGGAGGGGGCTTAAACATGAGCCCTGGGGGAGACCAATGTAACTAATTCGTGAAGTTGTCGAGTTTCCATGAGAAAAGCTCATATATTTCTCAGACAACAAGTTGCTCAAATAGTTGTTCATAATTGGTGAAAGCCCACTATCGTGGAGTTGATCCAAAAATTCTCGATCTATTTTGAACTGAATTTGGATCAAGACAAGCACTGCTCCAAACTAGTTTGACAGCTGTCGCACTCGAGATTTTGTTTTGTTTTGTTTCGTTGTTGGGGTTTTTTTCAGCAAAACAAACCGATTTAGTTCCTCAATTTTCTAAGAAACGTGGGCGGAACAATCGACTGCTGTTGGTGTAGTTCCAGGCCTATCGCGCTATCGGTGCTGCTGTTGCTGCTGTTGCTGCCGGCCCTGTCGTCGCAGCTGCGAAAGAATCACATGGGAGACATCCGGACGCTTCTGTTCTGCAGGATTTTCCGGGCATGTTCTGGAAACTCCCAGGGAAGTGGCCAGTTTCTGACTTTGTCCAAAACTCATCATGTGACACATCAAATCACATTAGATTTCAAAAGCAATATCAAGGGTAGTCAAATATAGTGCACATAATCATGTTGACCCCTATAGGATATGTTCCGGGCACCTTCAAGGAAATGGCTAGTTTCTGATTTAATCCAAAACACATCATGCGCCACATAGCAAATCACATTAGATTTCAAAACCAAGATCAATGTAAGTCAAATAATGTGCCCAAGACCACCTTTCTTACTTCCAAGCATCTTTCAGGAACTCCTAGGGATGTGACTAGTTTCTGATATGGTCCAAACCCTGTGATGTGTCAAATCTCACAGAAATAAAAAAAATGGTGGGGTTGTGTACAAGACACGACCGCATGGTTGACGTAGACTACGTTAAGCTGTGTAGTGAAATTCTCGTGCGTTTTTCTAGATATTGATATAAAATACAGTAGAAGTAACTGTGGCATCCAACGCCAGTTCACAACTGAAGATTTAGATTAGTGTAAATACAGGAACGGGATGAACGCAGAACGACTAGGGGAGAAGTAAAAACGTGTAGCTTGCGATCAGACGCTTTTACGAGAACCGGAAAATGAAGAGATTGTTTTAAAACTGGATATTAAATAAACTGTAATTAGTTGTAGTACTAAGATCCGAAACTGTATTCCTCACATTTGGCGACGCAGGATAAATAAAATGTAAGTAGAATATTTTTGCGACGTGAATCTTTTTCGCAGATTCTGGTGATAAAGAAGCGAATTTCAGTCGAAATGGTATGCATCATTCTTTGAAGAAGGGGTGGGGTTCGAGCTATGCCCTTCTGTAAAGCTTGGTTATGTCAACGGATGAAGGAGTTTTGGTTTTTTTTTCTTTTTTTTTGCCTTTTTTTTTTGTTGTCGGTATCGGAGGTATAGTGCTATGGTGATTTATGAAGTGGAAGCGGGAAGACCGTGTTTTTGGTGGAAAGATGGAATATGCTGAATCGCATTTTATTTACTTTTGTGTGTGTGATGGGTATTAAAAGAGAACTGTGTGAAGCGAGCAGCGGAGCACACCGTGAACAGAAAGATATATGTAGTGGAGAAAAATGTTGGTGGGTTGAAAACATGAATACATAAAATATACTGGGCGATTTGTATGCAATAATCGATTCTAGATTGTTTACATAAACGAAAAGAAGAGTTTGCCATCGTTTGATGATTGTTGAGGGAATCCAAAGCCATGATAAAATATGTTATTCTGATAACTGGAAAAAGTTATACATCTGAGGATGTGTACAATATGAGTAAACGGGTTCACCATGAATTGAGCGGGTTCACTATAAAAATAAGGCTTATTTGTACAAAGGTGAGTTCGCTAGGAGAAGGCGGGTTAGCCATGAGAAGGCGGGTTCACCATGAGAAGGCGGGTTCGCCATGAGAAGGCGGGTTCGCCATGAGAAGGCGGGTTCGCCATGAGAAGGCGGGTTCGCCATGAGAAGGTGGGTTCGCCATGAGAAGGTGGGTTTGCCATGAGAAGGCGAGTTCGCCATGAGAAGGCGGGTTCGCCATGAGAAGGTGGGTTCGCCATGAGAAGGCGGGTTTGCCATGAGAAGGCGGGTTCGCCATGAGAAAGCTAATGCGCTATAAGTATGTGGGATCAGAATTTATAAAAGTTATTAAAAATAGTATTGATGTATAACTACATTGAAGATTAAAGATACAAAATTGAAAGAATTAATAGAAACAAATAACAACATAAGAATCATGCGACCATTCATGACTTTCAAGATCATTTTAAAAGATTTGTTTTCTTAAATTTTGGAATAGGACAAGCAACGACGGCCGAATCAAACCGTTTTTGTCCTCAATAGAGTCTTCACAACTCCCTCTGGCCTGGTCAAAATAGAAAAGGGATTTGAAATCTTATTTTGAATCGGAAAAGATCATTTCCCAGTACGATAAACGCTCTAAATTATTGTATTTGGGTGGTTCTGATTTGAGGGATATATACGATAATCTGCCCGACACAGCTCAGGTATCATACGTGTTGAAAGATCCACCATATTATGATGTGGCCATTTCCAAACTCGACGCTCATTTCGAACCGTTCCGTCGTCGAACGTATGAGCACAAACGAAGTTACAGACGACTTTCTCCGAAGAAATTAATTAAAATAATGTGGTTCTCTGTAATAGAATTTAAGACCACTTTCCGCCGCTCACCGCCAGGTTCGCTAGTATTTTTGATTTGAATTAATTCAAGTTGGTTTTGTGTGCAATGATCTGGCAACTCGCGAAATTTTGATTAGAGTGAAAAAGTAAGAAACAGTCAGCGCGGGAACCGTGTGCATTACTATAGGTACGGCAGAAGGAATATAATCGACTCTTTCGTTCTCACGGTGTTCTTACGCATGATCCAACCACAGACAAACAGACATAACTCTCGCAAGTTTTTCATCGAACAAGCATTTAACGGAAAATTTAAAAGTATCGTAGTTGGTAGTACCGCCACCTGCGGCGCGCATAGTCAATTCCCTTGCGTTTGACGTTTACGCACTACCGCCATATATTCAGTGTAGTGCCCACCACAGTGTACTCAACAGATGGCGGTAATGTTTTAGCGACGACGTTTCACAGTGAGAAATATTCAATGTGTT